TTTCTAAAAAAATCATCTGTAATTGTTAATAACACAACAATACTTACATACGATGCGATCAAAGCATTAAGACGTATGCAGATGTAGCTGGATTTCTAACAAACAATAACACATTGCTCACAGAGCCATGCTTTGCCTATTTCCTCTCTAATTATCACCTGACACACCCATCTGATGATGTCATCCTGATTCTTAAAGGGACCACGACTAGGCACAATAGGCACACAAAGAATAGCCCAGAAAATGCAAACAAGAGTAAACTTAGCTGTAACAGAACAGTTTTGTTAAACTTCTTAAGATGTTTTTGATAACCTTCTTAAGATGTTTTTGATAACATTATGCCCTACTGTTCTTAAAACGTTTTCAGCGGGACGTTTTATTTTGGTTCCAGAATGTTCTTCTGAAAGGTAGGATAACGTTCTCTAAAAACATTCTTAACATTTGTGGTGATAACTTTCTTAAGATGTATGAGCGCATTGAGAAAATGAATAGGACGTATAAAAACGAATGTATGTGTAAAGGGTTAAACCAGTTCATTGTTAAAAAAAAATAAGTTAAGTTAAAAAAGTGTCACCCCCATATTGTTTATTGTTGTCTCTTTAGAAGTTGTCATTAAACTTACATTGCAACTGTGTGGCGGACTGATCACTAGAGGGCGATACCACTCGGGAGGATCTAAAACCCTGCAAGGGCAGAAACCTGCAGATGAAATCCTGCAGTTGAGCTACAAACAAGCTAACATTTCTGCCTCGTGTGTTTTTCATAATACAGGTGGGTTCTAAGTCCTTCAAATGACACCATAGTGTCCCAGTATAGGGGTATAATTGTTATGAGTGTGTTGTGATTGAGTGTGATATGTCTAATCGTTGTTTTAGGCAGTTATGTATAGTTATGTGCAATGTGACGCAAGTGGAACTAACGGCTAGCGGAGCTAACGCTAAGGTTACACAGTAGCCTACTATGTAGACACGTGTTGCTTGGTGTAGATAGAGGTAGATTGTGTTTATGCATATAGGTTGTATATGTTTCTTTGAAGTGTGTGTATTGTATTGGAATTTGAGTGTGAGGATAACAGTGAGTTCTGAGTGTGACGATTTTATTGTACATTTCTGTTGTATTTTTACCATGATGTCATCGTTGTTATGTGGATGCTGTTGCCTTATTGTTCTATTTTGTATATGGTTTCGCCCTCTAAGGCTATCGCTATTGGGTTATCCCTCTGCGCCCCCGCGCAGCACTGAAACACTTGTAGTCCACGCCCACCCGCTAGGTGGGCCCCACCCTCGGGCTTCCTTCCGGTATAAATAGGAAGGAGGCCCGGCAATCTGCTCCCTCTTTTCCTCAGCAAACCAGCACAGTTACTGAAGCACAGCCTACCTGGGTCAGAGCACGCATACGCGGCTTAATAAACCCATGAGCGCCGTTATAACGCCTCATGTGGGCAGCACTGCACACACCGCCGATCCATCCCCTGAGCGTGTACGCGCCTCATGATGAGAGTCGGAGTGAGACGCAGCGTGTGGAGGCCCCGCGCAGCCCTTTCGCTCTAGGTCCACCTTGGGTTGCCTCACGGGCAGCGGCGGCGAGGGCTCTGGCGTGGCTCGTCGTCATGACGACCACAACACATCTCGAGCATGTGCGCCCGCTCTCAGAGTGTTTCTCTCGGAGTGGCAGCGCGTGTGTCTGATGGACAGATGGAGGAGCAGGCTGATCAGCAGAGGGTACACCCTGCAGTTCGCCTCCCCCCCCCCCACAGTTCAACGGGATACAGGAGACACGCCTGTCATCCCGAGAACAGTGGCTTGCGCTCCAAGCAGAGCTACGGGAACTCCTGTTGAAAGAGGCTATTTCCAGGGTTCCCCAAGAGGAAGAAAATCAGGGCCAGCTGCCTCCAATCTGTTGATTAGTAGGCAGCAGGGTTCGCTGCAGAGGCCTGGTGGTTATGACTTTTCGGTTATTAAACCACAGACCTCGCGGCATTCCTCTGTCCGAGATACGCCACCTACACACGGTCACAATAAGCCCATGAGCGCCGTGGTAACGCCTCATGTGGATGTCACTGCACACACCTCCACTCATCCTCTGAGCGTGTACGTGTCTCATGATGAGAGTCGGAGTGAAATGCAGCGTGTGGAGGCCTCCTCACAGCCCTTTCGCTCTAGGCCAGGGGTGCCCAACCAGTCGATCGCGATCGACCGGTCGATCGCGGGGAGATTCCCAGTCGATCGCGAGATGTGTCTAAAAATAGAACAACAATATTCTGTTTTATCGTTAATGTCCTATAACATAATCTTCCTGTGCCAGAATAATGCACTTGAACGCATCAAAGCTTTGTGATTGGCCGGCGTGACTTGTCGGGGCGCGGCTGGTGGGCAGTGCACTAGTTCGCTAATGTTGTCCATGTCAACAGGAGTGACAGTCCGCACACAAGCAAAACATATATAATTCTCACTCCGAGTGGGAGGATGATTATGTTTGTATCTATTCCAATTCAAAGTCCATCTGTCTCATCTGCAATGCGAGCGTGGCTTTATCGAAGAAGGGTAATTTAGGAGCGGCATTTCAAAACAGTGCACAAACGCTACGAGACGGAATTCCTTCCTAATTCTGCCCTACGCTCCAAAAGGGGAGGGGCCTGAAAGGACAGCTAAATGCACAGCAGTCCATTTTCACCAGGCCCAACAACAAGAGCAAGGCTGCTACCATAGCATCTTATCGTGTCAGTCACGTTCTTGCGAAACACATGAAGTCTTTCAAAGATGGCGAAGTTGTGAAAGAAGCTTTCCTGGAGGCTGCCGATGCGTAATAAAAATAACAGTAGCATTTCAACAGGTTTTTGATATGATAAAAACTCAAGTTAGATACCGTTATTAATCAGCTGTAAGTTTGAGTTTGTTTGAACTTATTCATTATAATTATTGTACAAAATGGTATAATAATGCAAACTTAAATTGATTATAATCTATCAATTCAGGTTAAGAAACTAGTGTTGCTTGCATCCTATTTTAAATGCATTTATTTTTATACTCTACTAAAATGCAACAAAAAAAGGGTTTGATTCTATTAATTTAGTCTTTTTTATTGTACTTTGGCAGCAGATTCCTGTGTAGCTTCAGATCTGAGTTGTCTTATTAGTAAGCCTAATTTATACTTTTTTAGCAACACTAATTTTATATAAGGACAAAGAAAGGGTTCAGAGTCTTTTATTTTGTTCCTGTGTCATATGTGGCAGCACTGTTCAATGTTTCTTGAAAACATTACCCACTGTAGTGACGTGTGAATAAACTCCAACTCTGTATCAACAACACTGTTGTGTAACTTCAGTTAAATACTTGTATGTGTGTAGATTAGAAAGAGGTAAAATAAAGGATCTGCAGTATTTTATGGAGTATTAATCGTACAAAGGTCAGATTTATACAAGAAGAAGTGTGTATTTATCTGGTAGCAGGCTGTCAGTAATGGCTACGCCTCTCTATTTGGACTGGTAGATCTCGGCAGACTGGCAACTTTAAAAGTAGCTCTCGGTTCAAAAAAGGTTGGGCACCCCTGCTCTAGGCCCACCTTGGGTTGCCTCACGGGCAGCGGCGGCGAGGGCTCTGGCGTGGCTCGTCGTCATGACGACCACAACACATCTCGAGCATGTGCACCCGCTCTCAGAGTGTTTCTCGGGGTGGCAGCGCGTGTGTCTGATGGTCAGATGGCTGAGCAGGCTGATCAGCAGAGGGGACACCCTGCAGTTCGCCTCTCCCCCCCCCACAGTTCAATGGGATACAGGAAACACTCCTGTCCTCCCAGAAGCTATGTCTTGCGCTCCAATCCGAGCCGCTGGAACTCCTGTTGAAAGAGGATATTTCCAGGGTTCCTCAAAGGGAGGAAAATCAGGGGTTTTCACCCGTTAATTTTCTAATCCCGAAAAAGACTGGGGCAATGAGACATCCTCGATCTGTCAGTATTCCACATGCTGACGATCAAACAAGTGCTGGAATGTGTTCACCAGGACGACTGGTTCACTTCCACCTGAAGGATGCATACTTCCACGTACCCCTCATCCCAAAACACAGGAAATTCCTGCGGTTTCTCATTTCAGGGAATATCAGACCAGACAATCGTCTGCCGTTCGGATATTTCCTGGCTCCTCCCATTTTTGTGTAGAGAAGGCTGGAGCCGCTACACAGAGGAGGGATGAGAGGTGGTTTCCTCTGGACGACCTGCTATTTGCTGGCTCGCTCCAGGGAGGAAGTCGCTTTACAGACGGTACATCTCTTGTATCGCATCTGTCAAAGCCTGGGTTTCATAATAAATTGGAAGAAGAGCTGTCCTCTTCCCTCTCAGACAAACGGTTATCTGGAGTGGAATTAAACTCAGCCAGCAGAGCGCGGCTCTCGCGCAGCGAGTGGAGAAACTGACAGCTCTCCTCCGGCATGTCACAACCCACACAGCCCTCTCCGTGACGCAGCTGCTCGGCGTTGGCGTCAGCTGGTCACGTGGTGATCCCCTTGGGTCTCTTCCAAAAGGGGACACTCCAGAGGTGGTTCATTCGCTGCAGAAGCCTGCTGTTTTTAACCTATTGGTTTATAAACTGCAGAGTTCGCGGCATTCCTCTGTCCCAGATATGCCTCCTACACACGGTCATAATAAATCCACGAGCACCGTTATAACGCCTCGTGTGGACAGCATACACACACCTCTCATCCTCTGGGCGTGTACGCGCTCATGATGAGAGACGGAGTGAAATGCAGCGTGTGGAAACTCCCTCGCAGCCCTTTTGCCTCACAGGCAGCGATGGCGTGGCACGTCACCATGACGACCATTACGGCACATCACAGAGAAGCCTCTCCCCCAGCAGTTCCATGGGATACAAGAAACACCGTCTTCTTTTAGGTCAAGAGTGATCACCCTGGCTGGCTTATTCCCCCCTCCTTACAGGTCGGAGGAAGAAGCCACGTCTCATCTCCTCTGTCCTGTGCGCGCGCTGTCCTGCTATGTGGCGCGCACGGCGGCCTGGCGCCGTTCTCAGCGCCTGTTTGTGCACTATAGAGAGCGCTCGATCGGGCAACCTCTGTCTGCACAACGGCTGTCACACTGGCTGTGTGAGGCTGTGTCACAGGCATATGTCTCCTCTGGGGTGGAGCCCCCGGAGAGTATCAAGGCGCACTCCACCAGAGGACTTTCCTCCTCCACGGCGTTGCACGGAGGAATGTCAGTGGAAGATATTTGCACGGCTGCATCTTGGTCTTCCCCCTGTTCCTTTATTCAATTTTATTTGAGGGAGGTCTCCCATTCCTCTCTGACGCACCCTGTACTGGGTGTCCTGTCGGAGTGAGTGACGTCAGGGATTCAGCGGTGCGCCTCTCTCCTGCCTCTCGGCACGCGGAGAGCGGCCCTTTTCCCCTCGTATGAGAGGGATGTTCCCTTTACTCTGACACACTTCGTACGGAGTGCCTGGTCAGAGTGAGTGACGTCAGGGATCCAGCTGTGCGCTCTCCTACCTGTCTGACACGGAGAGAGCGGCTGTTCCCCCTCTATGATCGCAGGACAAGGTGGGACCTTCGTCTCTACTTTCTCACAGCGGCCGGTATGTATTGTTCCCAGCCTTCACCCCGTCGGGAAGATAGGCATGTTTTGCTATGTTCCAGGGACGGTGATGCGCCATTACGCATGGCACAACAGGCAGGGGGTGTTATTGAGCAGGTGTGTCTGTGCTTCTAGTGCTGGGCGGACCCAGTGGGTGCAGACTACATCATGCTTCGCCCTTAACCCAATAGCGATAGCCTTAGAGGGAGAAGCCATATGTGACCCGCTCTATCGAAATCAGTCGGAAGTCGCAACGGCTCATTTCAAAATAAACGTGGATTTGCGTAAAAAACTATTTTTTCGGGGTTCGGGTGTTTTGTTTGATTTTAAATAAACAAAGTCTTGGCTTTCAGAATATGAAACTTTTATTTCCAAATCACAAGATAAATACATTTTTGAAGCTTGTAAAGGGAAGATGACAGGCACCTCTCATTCACAATCTGCTCTTCCCAGCGCTGCCCCCCCTCCCTCCGGCTGACATTATGAATGTACGCGTATAGTAATCATAAATAACACGGCAGGGTCCGTTACAGTTTGTTTTCATCTGATTTCAATTAACCAAAGTCTTGGCTTTCAGAATATTAAACTTGTTTCGGCAAATTCAGATGATAAATACAACTTTGAAGCTTGTAACGGCATAATTACAAGCGGAGAACGGAGTAACTTAACGTCACAGCAGGCATAACAACAGCCGGTGTTTCTCGTGAGGTTTTCTCCGGGAAACAAACACAATACACACAAATGCAAAATTACCCAAACACACACACGCGTATACACACACACACACTCGCGAGCTTCCCCCAGACCAGTAATCCAAACGAAAATATCTTCCCTCCGTAGTATTTTGATCATTTGCTCCGCTAATAATCAATCAGATCGATGGATTCTAGGGCTGTCCCGAATACCATTTTTCGGGCTCCGGATATTCGGTAGTAATCAGCAGCAAATATTCTAATATTCGGTGCGGAGAGATTTTATTTTATTTTTTTAAATGTCCTAACACGCTCCGAGACAACTGACAACACGCCGTGAAGCAGAAGCGCAGAAAGAGCATACTATTACGATTTATATTTATTTATTGCCTCAGTACTCGCATACATTAAAACCACAGTCTATGATTAAAACTAAATGTGTCCTCTGCATTTAACCCAGCCGCAGTGCAGCGCTCTGGGACCAAATCTGGTTCCAAATTCCGTCTATATCGTTTTACAACCTGAAGATACAAAACACATATTTCTGTTATAACAACAATACTTTTAATAACATAGCCGTAACAGTAGGCCTAACAGTGTAATACTTGTTACAGATACAGTAAACAGTATTTAAATAAATGAATAACGAAAATAAATGAACAAACTGTATGCCAATAATTGCCTTAGCCCCAGATGTTCCCACATTGCTCCTATTATTTTCACTATTCGGATAAAATTGAAAAACTAATATAAAAAAACAATTCGGTTGCTTGCTTGCAACTATTTTCCAAGCAAAGTAAGTGCACGATTTTATCATGTGTAACGTTACTGTTTAAACGGCGGATAAAGCAGCTTCATCATGGCAACTTGACAACAGCTAAGCTAAGCTAGGCTACTACTTACAGCATCCGGTGACTTTTCAGAGTTGTTTGCCACCGTGGTAGGCCAGTTTCTTGTCGCATATTTGGCACACTGCCTTCTTCTTACCGTCGTCCAATTTAAAATGGTCCCACACAGCTGAAGTCTTCGGCATTTTGTGTTCAGGTGTGTGAAACGAGGTGAAGCGAGGTGAAGCGTGCCGTTTGCGTTCGTGACTGTGAGTGAACGCGATGTCAGGAGCACAGGCTGAGATTGTATATATTTCCGCATTTTAACAGTGCAATTCAAAAGTAAAAATATAGTATAAGAATATGGCAATTCGCCTTTATTGATAGCATACATTTAGGAAAATAAAAAATAAAAAATTTAAAAACGAATATCCGAATAATGAAATTGAAACCCGAATAGTTGGCCAACGAACGAATATTCGAATATTCGGGTACAGCCCTAATGGATTCCAGAGAAGAAAAAACTTTGAAGGCCTTTTTCTCAAAGTGATGACTCGGTGACAGTCATTATATAATGTGACATATTTCGCTTAATATTTGGAGTACAAAAACAATCCTGATATCATTAGAAAGCTAGGAATCTCCTCTTTCCAACATACAACTCAAAATGTGTCTTCGGGTCAATGCGACTGATTTCGATAGAGCAGGTCACATATACGAAATAGAACTGAGGTTACCTACTGTAACCCAGCTTCTATGAGTAAATGGCGCAGCCCTCTAAGCGCTGGGCCCCACTGGCTCTACGAATAGCTGAAGAAAAGTTATTTTGTATGGGAGCAGATTGCCGGGCCTCCTTCCTAATTATACCGGAAGGAAGCCCGAGGGTGGGGCCCACCTAGCGGGTGGGCGTGGACTACAAGTGTTTCCGTGCTGCGCGGGGGCGCAGAGGGATAACCCAATAGCGATAGCCTTAGAGGGCTGCGCCATTTACTCATAGAAGCTGGGTTACAGTAGGTAACCTCAGATCTCTGGTGTTGTTGCCTCATGGAAATGAGCATAGATAAATGCTTTTGTTGTGGATTGTTTCCAAATGAGCAGATTAAATCCTGCAGTTGAGCTACAAAAACAAGATAACATTTCTGCCTTGTGTTTTTCATATACAGAGGTAGAGTCTGCTGCTGGCCCAGGTACCCCTAGGCCTGAGGCCAGTAACATATGCATGCCAATATTCACTCACATGCACTTATCACACTAAGGTATGTAGGCCCACAGTATTCATAATATCATGTGTAAAATATCAGAAAATAATCACACTTTTTTCTGACTATAAAGGTTGTGTCTCGTATGTAGGTTCTAACTGTTAGATAAGCTATCTGGCTGTGTGTGGTTTGTGAGGGCTGTGTAAACAGTGTCCGCTGTTTATTACATTACATTACATTTAGCTGACGCTTTTATCCAAAGCGACTTACAATAAGTTTATGCATATTGGATACAAATCGTTATTGCACCCTTTAGATTTGAGACCGACAGACATATAGAGGAACGGACCAACTGTCACTGCCCGTCCCTGAAACCCCTATTAGTGTTTGTATGTGTTTGTTTCTACTGTCTCTTCTCTCTCTCTCTCTCTCTCTCTCTCTCTCTTCTCTCTCTCTCTCTCTCTCTCTCTCTCTCTCTCTCTCTCTCTCTCTCCCCCCCCCCCCTCTGCCTGCTGGTCTGCTCAACACTGCTGGGAGGAATCTCCAATCAACCACACCTGCAACCTGCTCATCAGCCACACTATGAAAGCCTGCAGCCTGCACTCATTCCCTGCCGGATTGTTACCGTGAACGGATTGTTGCTGTGAATGGTTTGTTGCGTGCAGCTCTAGCTTTTTACCAGCATATTCTTTGACAACTTTGCCTGCTTTTGCCTCACACTCATTTTGATGTCTCTCTCAGGAGGAATCCAAGGCCTTCCACACTCCCAAGACCAGCCAGGCCTCTCCACCCTGGAATAACTGTTTCCCACTGCTGCCATAACCAACCTCCACTCCCAGATCCCCTTTTCTAATAAACAAATGTTACTTTCACCAGCTGATTCCGATTCATCCTTTTACATGTGTTAATAGTCAAATTCCAATAATTAAGTAAACTATCAAAATCATCCTAATAACCACAGTGGTCAGTCCACTTACTCAGGAATTTTGAGTTGAACAATTACAGGAATATGATGTCTTTATGTTCTAATAATTTAAACATATGTTAGTAAATTGTTACCACAGAACATTTGCATAATATTTTAAACATAAAGCATGTTATCCTTCTCTAAAATAATAACATTCTGGCAACATAAACAAATCTAACTTGCAGCTGAAAACATTTTAAGAACAGTAGGGCATTACAATGTTATCAATAACATTTTACCAATGTTTTTAGAGAACGTTATCCTACCTTTCAGAAGAACGTTCTGGGAACCAAAAGAAAACTTCCCACTGAAAACATTCTTAGAACAATGAATGTAACATTCTCAGAATGTTTTTAGAACCAAACATTTCTAGCTGGGTAGCTACCTAGCTAGGAGCTAGCACGTTAGTTAGCATTACAGCCTTGTCATTTGTATTAGCCTTAATATGAAGTAACATTAAGTAACCCAAAATGTTAAACAGTAAGAGTAGTAGTCATATTTCGTAAACCCTTTGAAGTGTACTGTCACCGGTGTGATCATTCTATAATAAACAATTTAAGCCCGGGGGAGAAATCCTAACGCTAGCATCGCCGATATTTTCTACTTCATGCTATCTGCACAAATGGTTGACATTAAACATTAAAAAGAACAGGCAGTTCAGAGAGAATCAAAGGAAGGCAGGCAGGCAGCTTTGTATGACATTCTTCTGGACGTGTTTCATTGTGGTGATAGTGAGGGTAGTCAATCGTTTTGTTGACAAGACAGTAGTGTCGGCCATCTTGGTGACGTGTGTTGTTCTGCGAGACCAGAGATGTAGTTCATTGAGCGTTTCACACAAACAAATGTGTTACTTCACAATTTTACGACACATTTTTTTTTTTTTGACTTGCAAAATATCTTTTAAATTGACAAACATCATATGTGTAATTTGTGGCACAATTCAAACGGGATCGAAAGAAATCTTTCTCTCTCCATTGACTTCAATACATAATTTTTTCGAAATAAGGTCCCATGGAGGTCCACCGGTAGGGGAGGGACTTCGCCTCTCTATATATAAATGCACGTAGGGTCCGTGACGTCACCCATAGGATTCTGCAGAGTTTGCCGAGAAGCCCTTAGTAGGCGGAGTCAGCCACTAACGGCTCGACCAGTGACATCAGAGTTCAACTCCCGCCTGTTCCAAATAAGGGCAAAGAGGCGGAGCCGAGGCTGGACCTCCTGCCACGGAGCTGGAAGTTCCAGAGCTAGCTGAAGCTACCTAAGCTAAGCTAACATGCTCCCCATCTGCACACTGCCGTCGCATTTTTCGTTTCTCAGGTAAGCGGACATGAAACTATTCAGCAAAACTATGAATAATAATCTAAGTTATTTGAGTTTTTAGCATAATACTTCAGAATCTTAAAATCCCTTAACGTGTGTATGCAATTGTGCTAAATTCAACACTGGAATCAAGCAAATATTAATATGTTTGCATGACATTAGTTATTTATATTTTGATATCACTTAATTATACGTTTAATACATTTAAGTCAAGCTAAGGTACATGTGATGGAAGCTAGTTAGTGCTCTTACCTGTGAGGCCTCCTCCAAACAGCATAATAACCAGACTGTATCATTAAAACTTAGTACCAGTTCTAGATCCTTGACTTTAGACAAACAATTCAAAAGACAAAATGTATTTAAAGACCAATCTTTATTTGAATGTGCCTCTTAACCTGAGATATTAGTTATACAGTAATAGTATTGACAATCTAAAAAAACTGAGCAACTCAACAGTCAACTTTATATTTCTACTCTAAAGCATTTATTATTTTTCGTTTTCCCCCTCTCATATTCAGTGTGGACGGGTTTGAGACAGCGTGGTGTCCAGAGAGCTGCTGAGACTTCAGGGAGAAACCTCCGTGTGATGGACGTCCTGTCTGTTAGTTTGGAGAGGACTGAGGGGCTTTCCTCAGCGAGGAGGACCAGGCCTGATGGAGGAGCTGATACCATAGCTGATACCAACTGCACAGGCCTAGTCTGTCACTTTATTTGACTAAATGTGTTTACTTATACATTTAATAGGTTTACACCTTCTGTCCATTATGTGCTTTTTATTTAAAACATGTTTGATTAACTTTTGGTTCACATTTCAATACATTGTATTTGTATTTGCAATCCTTTCGTCCATTATTCTTACTGAAAATGTTAGATTACACATTCACATCTGACTGAAGATTGGCCCCATTTATTTGTGACGTTGCAAATGTTGCAGTACAAGGCACAAGTGATGTGAAGCTCATAAAGTGAGGGCAAATAGAAATAATCAGCTGATGGAGTGTAGATGTGGAAATAGGGGCATTCGATCAGCTGACTGTGTTTTCACAATAAAGTAGTTTCTTAGTGAATGTCCTGTACTGGTCTTACAATCTCATAACATCAGCTTTTAATGTTCCTCTTGGATGTTCTTCTTGACCCTCAGAGAAGGAGAAAAATGTTGTGTCTTTCAGGCATGTCCTTTCCTAACAAAATTACAGGAAACATAAATATATTATTGCAGAACAAGTGTGTTATTTATGAAAGCGGTGTTGTGTTTGTGTGTTTAGGGGCTGTAGATATAATTATTTTGTAATTGTAATGGTTTTTTTTTCAACAGTGAGCTACAAAGACAATCAGATTATGAATGAACAGTATGACATTCATCAACATTGAAATATATTTGATTATCAAAATAATATTTAACTGTTATAACGTAGTGCAACTGTAGAAGCTTGCTCTGTTGTCTCACTGAAAGAATAACTTTTACCACGTTTTTTACAGACAATATTACATTACATTGCATTTAGCTGACGCTTTTATCCAAAGCGACTTACAATAAGTACATTCGACCAGGAAGACACAACCTTGAAGAAAACAGAATCATATAAGTACATAAGGTTTCATAGAGCCAAACATTTCATGTGCTACTCAACTGGCTATAGATAAGCCAGTCCTTTATTAGTATATAAGTGCTCTGTTAGCAGTTTTTTTGTAGTAATTCTATCGCTCGAAGTGGAGTCGAAGAGATGAGTTTTCAGTCCTGCGCCGGAAGATGTGCAGGCCACCTGCGTGGCTTTCTGGGTCAGCTGATGTTGTAAAGTGTGTATCTGCAGCAGAGGGTTGTAGCAGCAATGTTTGCAGTGAAGGACAGGTTGTTATCTAGGATCACACCCAGATTCCTTGCAGTCTGAGTCGGGGAAACAACAGAGGTGCCGATGTTGATTGTCAGGTCAAGAGTGGGACAATCTTTTCCCGGAAGGAAAAGCAGTTCAATCTTGTCAAGGTTGAGCTTGAGGGTGATGAGCAGACATCCACTGAGAGATGTCAGCTAGACAAGCAGAGATGCGTGCGACGGACCTGGGTCTCTGAGCGGGGAAAGGACAGAATTAATTGGGTGTCGTCAGCGTAGCAGTGGTATGAAAAACCATGCGGGCTAATGACTTGATCCGAGCGAGTTTGTGTACAGGGAGAAGAGGAGGGGACCAAGAACAGAGCCCTAAGGGACCACTGTAGTTAATTGACAAGGGTCGGAACTCGGACCCTCTCCAAGTTACCCTGTAGGTACGGTCTTTGAGGTATGAGGTGAGGAGAAAAAGTGCAGAGCCTGAAACTCCAAGTTTTTGGAGAGTGCGAAGGAGGATCTGATGATTCACCGTGTCGAATGCAGCAGACAGGTCCAACAGGATGATGACAGAGGAGAGGGATGCTGCTTTGGCAGTGTGCAGTTCCTCAGAGACAGCAATGAGAGCAGTTTCTGTGGAGTGACCTGCCTTGAAAACCAGACTGGTGCGGATCGAGAAGGTTGTTCTGATGGAGATAACAGGAGAGTTGTTTAAAGACAGCGCGTTCAAGTGTTTTAGACAGGAACAGGAGGAGAGAGACAGGCCTGTAGTTTATAACATCAGACGGGTTGAGAGTGGGTTTCTTTAGGAGAGGGTTTACTCTTGCCTCCTTAAGGACTATTTGGAAAGTGACCAGAAGTTAGAGAAGTGTTGATTGAAATGGGTGAGAAACTGTAGAATATCAGGAGCGATAGTCTGAGGAGTTTGAGGGGATAGGGTCCAGAGGACAGGTGGTAGGGCGGGCCAGAGGTAATGAGGGTAAGAACCGCTCTTGGAGAGAGAGGGGGAAAGGAGGTTAGTGTGTGAGTGAAAGGAGGGTCTGGTGACCAGCGGTGAGTAAAGGTGAGTCAGAAAAAGAAGAGCGAATATCATCAACCTTTTTTTCAAAGTGGTTAACAAGTCGCTTGACAGAAGGGAGGGGGGGAAGGGGCTTTGGGGGGTCCAAGAGGGTGGAAAGATTGAAAATAGTTGTTTGGGATTGGAATAGGAAGATTGGATCTTATCTTGAAAGAAAGTGCTTTTTGCCTGAGAGATCGAATCAGAGAAAGAGGAGAGGAGAGCCTGATAGGTTAGGAGGTCGTCATGGTGTTTGGATTTCCACTGTTTCCGCTCTGCTGCCCTAAGGATGGTTCTATTAGCACGCAGTGCGTTATTTAGCCCGGGTGCAGGAGGGGACTTGACGAGGCCTGCCGAGATGTGAGAGGACAGAGAGAGTCCAGAGAGGATGAGAGAGTAGAGAGGAGAGTTTCTGCAGCAGAGTTTGGAGGCAGAAGTTGGAACGAGTAGAGGACGGGAGGGCTGAGAGCACCGATGAGGCAACAGGTAGAGGGGGAGAGGGAACGAATGTTACGGCGGACAGGTGCAGGATGAGAAGAGATTAGTTTGTTATGTTTGGAAAGGGGTAGAGAGAATGAAATGAAGAAGTGATCGGATGTGTGGAGCGGGTTTACAGAGAGGTTAGAAGTAGTGCAGTTCCTTGAGAATATGAGATCAAGGACATTGCCAGTTTATGAGTTGGTAGGGATGGAGACAGTGAGAAGCAAAGGTG